TAATCTCAATAGTCAACTGGCTATATATTGTTGTTTTTATATTGTGTTGTATTTTGTACTGACCATTTTTTACATTGTTGATTATTATTATTTTTATTATTTTTTATTGTTCTTTTTATTGACCGTACTTAAAATGCTTGTCTTATTGTCAGTTTTTTTTTTCCCTTTATTTGATTAGTGTTTATTGACTGTTTGTTTGTAACCAGGTACGCCATTGTTGTTTTTTTTTTAATTTTTATTTTACTTTAATTTAGTTTTTAAGTATGCTTTGTCAATAAGACCTATTACATGTAATATTTCTTGGACAATATAGCTATTTATACAATAAGTTACGAAATGAGCGTCTTTTAGGCACGCGACGTGAAAATTGTCCAACGAGGCAAAGCCGAGTTGGACAACACGTCGAGTGACTAAAAGACATCGTTTCGTAACGTATTGTATACAAGATTTTTTCTACTGGCATTTTATAATAAAAAAACACAATTTTATTTCATGTGAATAAGTCGATTACACCCAAAATCTTTGTTACCTGCTTTTACTTGACACCTGACACTTTTCATGCGATTTTCTTTTCAAAATTCGACATCAATAATTAAAATCCTAGAAAGTAGGTAATAACACAAAGTTCTGTTTTGAGTAACCCAAACGTTCAATTCAGTAATTCCATTTTCAATATTCATAATAAATACAAAACAAAATTCAAATATGTGTTTAGTGTGTTTTTTATTTCTGAATAATGAATGACACTTTTAGGCACTAGTGCTTAAAAATTACTTTTTCTATTTTGGTGTCATATCGAAGTCTTTTCGACACTAAAAGTAGTTTCGAAAAGAAGCTCTTTGTGACACTCCTTTTTTACTTATCGGAAGTTTGTAACACTGGCTGACTGATGGCCATCGAACTGTCATTTGCGATTTTATTATGGTAAAAATAAAAATAAAAAAGAAGATTTCTATATTTGGCATGTAATGTTACCAACCTAAACATGAAATCAGGAAATATGAGAATAAAGTTTCCAAAAAAAATTTGTTTTTTTTTAATTAAACAATACCAAAATAGAAAAAATAGTATAAAATATTCGTTTCATAAGACATTTTATCGCACTCGCCCTTTAGAAAACTCGCCTCCGGCTCGTTTTCTAATATAGGGCTCGTGCGATAAAATGACGTCTTATGAAACTTGTATTTTAATGTACTATTTACGCACTCATAAGTCACTTTTACGCATTCAAAAGTCACTTTTACGCACTGAGTGCCTAAAAGTAACTTTCACGCACTCAGTGCCTAAAAGAATGTCGTTTCAAAACTGAAATGACAATCGAAAAGTTGCTATTATGAAACGTCAGTAGAAAAAAGTACTTTTCATCATCATCATCTTATGAATTCTTGAATTTTTCAGCTTGAGAGCCTGGAATAGACAAAACTCGAGACAAAATTAATAGTTTTCTTATTCCCGGCTCTTGAATCGAAAAACTAAAGAAAACAGAGAGGAGCTCAAGAGCCTGGAATAGACAAATAATTAAGACAAAAATGATTGAGCTCTACATCGAAAAGAAAACACCTTTACTTTGACATTTTGAGTAGTCAGTCAATTGTAGCGGTTTAGTTAGGTTGCACCCAAGTGCAACAAAAATAGAGTCATTTAGAGTAAATTCACTCCACACTTTTCAAATAAGTCTGGGGCAGCAACATGAAAGAACCTCAACTTTGACAGTTTAAAAAAATCTAGTAGGCCATTTGTAGCGCTTTCTTTGAACCATCAGTAACAGAAACAGCTTATGAATGAATTCTTGAATTTTTCAGCTTGAGAGCCTGGAATAGACAAAAGTCGAGACAAAATTAATAGTTTTCTTATTCTCGGCTCTTGGATTAAAAAACTAAAGAAAACAGGGAGGAGCTCAAGAGCCTGGAATAGACAAATAATTGAGACAAAAATGATTGAGCTCCACATCGAAAAAAAAACACCTTAACTTTGACATTTTAAGTACTCAGTCAATTATGGCGGTTTCGTTAAGTTGCACCCTCTCCTATGTGGTGATGTCCAAGTGCAACAAAAATAGAGTCATTTAGAGTAAATTCACTCCACACTTTTCAAATAAGTCTGGGGCAGCAAAATGAAAGAACCTCAACATTGACAGTTAAAAAAAAATCTAGTAGGCCAGCTTTAGCGTTTTCTTTGAACCATCAGGGACAGAGGCAGCATATGAATCCTTGAATTTCTCAGCTTGAGAGCCTGGAATAGACAAGAGTCGAGACAAGAAAATTAATTTTCTTATTTGCAGCATTAACTTCTGATAATAAAGTTTTTCCACCTGGTGATTTCTAATAATTCTGGAAATGAAAATAAGTCTGCCCCTCCTAAATGTTTAGTTACCCCCTCTCTATTATCAAACCCTGGCCTGTGATGAATAATTGTACAACGTTAACACACGCAGGTTTTAATAATCAGGTGCTAAAATCAAACTAAAATTCTCTAGTTCTGTTTATATAACTTTCGAGAACAAAGAACTAGATTTCGGTTCGTGATGCTGGACCATTTGCGTGACCTTTTGTCCATTTCAAGACAAAGTTGCGCTATTAAGAGCACTTTTACATTGTCCAAAACTTGAGCTTAATTAGGGGCCATTAGGTAATAGTTTTTGAAGCTCAGCTTATTTGGAAAAACGTTCTTTTATCGGTTCAAACAACAAATGATTTCATAATAATTTTATGATCGATATAATGTACTGTAATGTTAAGTATCTACAAGTGGTTTCGAAACAACATATATTAAATTCCAAATGTCGATCGGTCAGTATTATTATTTACTTGGAAATCATTTTAATTACCAGCGCCTGTAATAAATTTTATTCGATTTTAATTGGCTGATCATTAACGCGTGTGTAAAAGGAGAAAAACCTGTTGAAGATAGGTACTTGATTTATGATTCACTCCATTCAAATAGTTGTGGATCTACCTATAAACTTTCATCTCATCTTAATTCCTTAAATTTCCTTGAAACTTCTTCGACTTCCTCTTTATTTCCTCCACAAAATCTCTGGAGCCTTTCAAATCAAAATCAAGAAATTTCTTATGTCTATTATAGGTAATGGAACTAAAATTAAATTAACTACTTAATTACATTGCATGTAATAAATAAATGGACGTTTTTCTGTGACGTTAACTTTTTATTGATGCAATTTACATCTACAGATTTACGAGCAATTCTGGTAAAAAGTGACCTTTTCAAGTAAATAAAACTTGATGATCATAAAACCATCGATGACATTCAAGATGCAAAAAAATCTCTCTAATGACAAAAATATTGAAACCCTATGCACAGTAGATTTGCTTTCGATTTCAAACCTTTCTCAACAAAGAACTGATCGAAAATAAGCCCGAAAAGGAAGAGTAACCTGCTTTAAATGTACGTTGCCAAGGTTCATGGCCAACAAATAGTAAAAGTAATTATAAGTGACTTACTTTGCTAGGTCTCCATTGGCTGGGTTTACTTCATATAAGTTCATTGAAACCATATACAAATTTATTTTTCCTGTAAAGCTTCTGAGATTTGCTTCAGCATTAATTATATATCTACCTATTCTTCTTCATTGTTTAATAACATATTTCAATTTGACTTTATATTCATCTTGAATTCCTGCAACCAAACAAATCTACTCAATTATTTTCCGTATAGTAATACTTCAAGTATGAATTATGATGAACGAAATTCATTCGACGATTATATCGCGCTGTTGCGTAATTGTAATTGCTTTGAAGCTTCAAGCAGTGATGTTGTTCTTCTCAAAAAAAATTAAAATAAAATAAACAGCGAATATGGAATTAGGACAACCTAGATTATATGGTATTTTGATACAATTTTCATTTTATATGGAGATAGGGTTCAGACCCAAGAATTAAGACATATAGGTATAGAATAAGAAGTTTTTAGGAAGTTTCTACAAATCTGGGAAACAACGAGGAAGTCTGTAAAAGTTTGAAAAATTATTCCGAAGAAGTTCTACCCGATTTGCATTAACTTTCTTTATTTATGAACTCCCTAATTTTGCAGAGGAACTAGTTGACAACTTATCTTAGGTACTTCCTTTCAACTTTTCCCACGTCCATTTTCTATGATTTTCCTAGAAAGTTTTAGCATATAGACTTCCTCAGATTACTTTCATGATTTGATATTCTTTGTACTTCTCCGGAATTCCACAAAATACTTGTATAGTTTTTGAATAATCATACAGTTTTGTATATTTTCGTCCCCTCAACTTTCCCATCATGTTAAAATGAATTCAATCCTATGTACAGTTTTTGAATAATCCTACAATTTACGTTAAGAGAACTTAAATCTATTTTGATTTTTTAACTTATTTTTGACTCTCCAAAATGCATGATCTGGCTGCCTTGGATATCCATCTTTGTTAATATATGAGCTAATTTATTGCCCCTGACGATGAGATTTTCTTATATTGAAACATGTAGGGCTGAAGATGAAGACTTTGACTTTTTCTTTTGAATTTAATTTCAACCCCACTTCTTCAATTTAAAATCAAAGCTGCTGGAAATGAAAATGGATAAGCATTCTTTCATAAAGTGATGTTTTAAAAATTTTAACAATTACTTATACAATCCAAATTGAACTCCTGAACTAAAAAGAATCGGAAATTGCCTCAATACCTACTTCAAGTAGAAGGATGAAAAATAAAATAATGCTAATATTTCAAAGTTCTTTGCATAAAATTCACTGACGCAATATTGGTTTGAAGATTGACCTGCTATATAAAATATCGTGCGAACAATCATTTGTGTTTTGGTAACCAAATAAGGAAGATTCCATTAGGAGTAAATTTTTACGCAATCTGGTGACCACACACACACACATTGTGTAGGTGCACGAATATTTTATTACTTGTTCTTGCAGACTACACGTGTTTTGTCGTGACTAACTTGATTTCATGATGGATTGATTTTTGCTACAAATAAGTGAATAGTCTAAAATACCAAATACTTAACCTTTAATGGACCATATTTTTAGTCAATAAACTATTTGATAACTATAATTCTCAAACATGCAGATCGCTTATCCGACAAATGAAATGTTCAATTATTGGTCGACGACACTAAACACCTTGAACTATATAATAAACAAGATGATACTTTAAAATAATGACGATCATTGGAGCGGCGACTAATTGAAATGTTACGATTCGAAATGCCAAGTTATGCTTTAATCGGAAATATATTAATTATTATCGGCATGGCATGTCATTTTTGAATAAGTGAAACGTGAGACCAGAACTAGAGTACTTGGATTTGAAATATATATTACTGCTTAGATGAAGATGAGTCAAATTTCGTGATTGGAGGGTCCTCGAAAACCACCTTAAATTGTATTTTTGTTTGTTGATGATACATTAGCAAGGTTGTGTTTGCCCTATCTTTCCGCTTTTTTTTTTTTTTTTTTGGCATTGAAATCTGTAGGAAATACATTTGGTTACGCATAAATAATGGTTAAAGATGGGATGGTTTCATTCTTATGGATAGAAGAATAAAATGTGTTAGTCTAGTGGAAAACCACCTGCCAACTTTTTTTTCTCTGTCTAAAGAAGTACCAGTGGTGTTTTCATGGAAAAAATTTCAAGGAAGTAAAGAAAGTTGATTCTGATGAAGGTTGAATCGTAATCAGTTTCAGAAATTATGGAAAAAGTTTGGATGTATAGAAATCCGAGGAAGTATATGGGACATTGTTTAGAGAATCCAAAGAAGAATCTGTTCGCACAGAATTACAAACCAGTCAGAGTGAATTTCATTGGTCGAAACTAATTTTCTGACTTTTTTCAACCAATGAAATTCGCTCTGACTGGTTTGTGATTTCTGTTGGAACGGACCTGAAATCGGACGAAGTTGGAAAGAGACCAGTGGAGGTACAAGAAATAGGATTGAATTCATACTGACATGGAAAGGTTAAGAGGGTAGGCAGAAACAGGGAAATACCAGTGGCGTACAATCGACCTACGAATGGAGAACCATACGAAAATATACAAAATTGTATGATTATTCAAAAACTGTATTACATAGGATTGAATTCATACTAACATGGAAAGGTTGAGGGAGTAGTCGGAAACAGGAAAATACCAGTGGCGTACACTCGATCGACCTACGAATGGAGAACTATACGAAAATATACAATACTGTATGATTATTCAATATAGTATGATTATTCAAAAACTGTACATAGGAAACTGTATGATTTTTCAAAAACTGTAATATTTTTGTACACAGGATTGAATTCATACTAACATGGAAAGGTTGAGGAGTAGTCAGAAACAGGAAAATACCAGTGGCGTACACTCGATCGACCTACGAATGGAGAGCCATACGAAAATATACAAATCTGTATGATTATTCAAAAACTGTAGGTACATAGGAAAGTGTATGATTATTTAGAAACTGTGTACAAATAAGTAGATTATGCCGGAACTTATGAGCCATCTGTTTATCAATATGTTGTTTAATTACGATACTAACCTGATTCACTCATTTGTGAGTTATTCGCGCTCGTTCCGCAGCCATCTACTCACCAATATACTGTTGAACTGTTTAAATAAGACACTCACCTGACACGTGTAGGTACTTTTTAAACTAATGAGAATAACTCACATATGAGTGAATCAGGTTAGTATCGTAATTAAACAACATATTGATGAACAGATGGCTGCGGAACTCGCTGCGCTCGTCCCGCAAAGGTCCACTCATAAGTTCCGCAACAATTCACTCATTTGTACTTGAATAACTTGTCACATTATGTTACTAGTTTGGTAGAGTAACATTACCTACTAATTCCTGTTGAAAGGCGAATTGACAAAAAGTGGATAATCTCACAAATTCTGCCTTTATATAATAAGTTATTGTTCAACTACAAATAAGTGGATTGTTTTGGAACTTATGGGTAGGCCTCTGCGGGACGAGCGCAGCGAGTTCCGCAGCCATCTACTCACCAATATACTGTTGAACTGTTCAAGTAAGACATTCACCTAAAACGTGTAGTTTTTAAACTAATGAGAATAATTCATATTTGAGTGATTCAAGTTAGTATCGTAATTAAACAACATACATGAAAAGGACAATTTTGATGAATTTATGAAAAACTGCAAAAATATAAATAAGGACAACTTTAAGAGTGTTTTGACAGAAGAATACATCAGACACTTATCACAGGATGAATTTTTAGCTGTGGGAGTCGACCAAAATTACAGAACCAAAAAGGAAGTCTACATAAAATATAGACACATCCTCCCTACGACAAAGAAAAAGGGAAACATTGGAAATTTATCGGTGGTACAGACAGCACAAGGGAAACACAACGTTTTTCCTGTTCACAAGAGAAGCATGTAAAAAGAAATTAACGCCAAGAAATATTTTTAAATGTCTACTAGAATTGAGAAAAACGGCACTACAAAAGAATGACAGAAAAATACAAATTCCTAGAAAACCATGGGGACTAGTTAATGAATGGTTCAGATTCAAGCAAATGCTTTATTTTATTTTCAAAGACACCAGAATTAAAATCCGTATATTTCGGGACCAACGAGCAGCAAAAAGTACACCAGAGCCAGCAGAAGAAATTACGCCATTACTACAAATATACACAGAAACAGGGAAACAAGAATACAAAACAGGAGCAGCAAAGGATTACGCAATAAAACCGTGTGAGGAGACAATGGTGGAACAGAAAATCATGGGAGATACGAGCAAAATAACAGAAAAAATCGACTATAGATGTAAATACAACCTGGACGGATTGAAAAAACCAGATCAATATAAAATCACTTATTTTTGGGGGCGAACACAACTTTGCATTTAAATTAAAAGCAAAAACAAAAATCCTATTGGCATTATTTGAGGGAACCACAATAGCACGGTTGGAAGAAGAAACACAGGAAAATTACTCATATAATTTTTTAATACAGAAAGAAATCAATAATATTAATAGTGAAAGAGTAACATTAGAAGATCACAAGATAGAAACTATTAAAGACGAAAGAACCAAGCAGGCACTTCAAGAACTCCTTCTCGAATATAATGACATTTTCGCCAAATCAGCAAAGAACACGGGTAGGATAAATCTGACTGAACATAAAATCGAAATAGAGAACGCCAAACCAATAAAAAGTCGACCATACAGAGTATCACAAAAAGAGAGGCAAATAATTGATGAACAAATTCAGGAAATGCTAGAGAGCAGTGTGATTCGTCCTTGTCACTCACCCTGGGCTAGCCCAGTAGTGTTAGTCAAGAAAAAAGATGGAAGAACCAGATCTTATGTGGACTACAGAAAAATTAATAATGTGACAAGGAAATCAACGTACCCATTAACCCAAATTAATGATATTCTATCATATTAGGAGAGGCTTCTTACTTCAGCGCCTTAAATATGTTTTCGGGTTACTGGCAAGTACCTGTCGAAGAAAGCTCTAAACCATACACTGCATTTATAGCATAAGGGCATGGATCTTACGAATTCAACGTATTAAGCAACCTTCCAAGAACTAGCTGACAGAGTCTTTTGGGACCTAAAATGGAAGGAAATATTGATCTACCTGGACGATATAATTATCTTTTCAGAACTATAGAGGAACATCTAAAAAAACTAAGAAAGGTTTTTGAACGACTGCGACAGGCAAATTTGACCCTCAAGCCAAGCAAATGCGAATACTTGAAACTAAAATGTAAGGCTTTCACGTCAACGGAAAAGGAATCCTAATACCAGATGAGGAAAAGATAGATTGCTTCAAGAGATTTCCCACACTAAGAAAGGTCAAAAACGTTCAGAGTTTCCTAGGACTTTGTAACTTTTACAGAAAGTTTATAAGCAACTTCCCAGCAATTGCCAGACCATAACATGATATTACGAACAAGAGCACAAAGTTCCAATGGGGTATTAGACAGGAAGAAGCATTCAAGGTTCTCAAAGACAAGCTCACCTCAGCACCAATACTAAGGCAATTGTTCAAGTACAAATAAATAGATATTTGCTTCTGACTTTATATAATAAGTTATTGTTCAAGTACAAATAAGTGGATTGTTGCAGAACTTATGGGTGGACCTCTGCGGGACGAGCGTAGCGAGTTCCGCAGCCATCTACTCACCAATATACTGTTGAACTGTTCAAATAAGACACTCATCTGAAACGTGTACTTTTTATTAAACTAATGAGAATAACTCACATTTGAGTGAGTCAGGTTAGTATCGTAATTGAACAACATATTGATGAATAGATGGCTGCGGAACTCGCTGCGCTTGTCCCGTAGAAGTTCACCTATAAGTTCCGCAACAATTCCCTCATTTGTACTTGAATAACTTGTCACATTACGTTACTAGTAACATTACTAATTCCTGTTGAAAGGCAAATTGGCAAAAAGTGGATAATCTTACCAATTCTGACTTTATATAATGAAATGAATTATTGTTCAAGTACAAATAAGTAGATTATTGCAGAACTTATGGGTGGATCTCTGCGAGACGATCGCAGCGAGTTCCGCAGCCATCTACTCACCAATATACTGTTGAACTGTTCAAGTAAGACATTCACCTAAAACGTGTAGTTTTTATTAAACTAATGAGAATAACTCACATTTGAGTGAGTCAGGTTAGTATCGTAATTGAACAACATATCGATGAATAGATGGCTGCGGAATTATTGCAGAACTTATGGGTGGACCTCTGCGGGACGATCGCAGCGAGTTCCGCAGCCATCTACTCACCAATATACTGTTGAACTGTTCAAGTAAGACATTCACCTAAAACGTGTAGTTTTTATTAAACTAATGAGAATAACTCACATTTGAGTGAGTCAGGTTAGTATCGTAATTGAACAACATATTGATGAATAGATGGCTGCGGAACTCGCTGCGCTTGTCCCGCAGAGTTCCACCTATAACACCTATAAGTTCCGCAACAATTCACTCATTTGTACTTGAATAACTTGTCACATTACGTTACTAGTAACATTACTAATTCCTGTTGAAAGGCAAATTGACAAAAAGTGGATAATCTTACCAATTCTGACTTTATATAATGAATTATTGTTCAAGTACAAATAAGTAGATTATTGCAGAACTTATGGGTGGACCTCTGCAGGACGAGCGCAGCGAGTTCCGCAGCCATCTACTCACCAATATACTGTTGAACTGTTCAAGTAAGACATTCACCTAAAACGTGTAGTTTTCAAACTAATGAGAATAACTCAATTTGAATGAGTCAGGTTAGTATCGTAATTAAACAATATATTGATGGATAGATGTAGAGGTCGACCCATAAATTCCGCAACAATTCACCCTTTGTACTTGAATAACTTGTCACATTATGGTAAAGTAATATTACTATTCAGGGGAGCATCCAGAGTTCCCGAAAATTTTTCGGGGGGTATCACGCCCAAATTATTACCCATAATTTAGTTTACATAATTTACAATCCAAAAATCGATGTTGAGAAAACATCGATGTTTTTCTATCAATATTTTCTCAACATCGATATCAGCTTTCGATGTCTTATCGATACCGGAACCTCGATGTTTTCAGTTGGATGGGCATCCCTAGTTGTTAGACGTATAGGGTAGGTAAGGGCCGAATTTATAGTCGTTCCTTGAGTCTTCCTTCAAAAAATTTTGGAGGGGGGGGGGGGGGAAACATAAAAAACGCAATGTCTCGAGTCCTTTGCGATCCAAATATGACGACCCGAGGGCTTTCAGCCCGCGTTGGTGATGTATTTAGGCCCCCCTATCGCTGGCGGGAATTAATTTTTAAAAAATTGCTGAGGCCGAACCGCTGGTCCGATCGAGCTGAAATTTGATACGTATATAGTGGAACGGGAACTCTATCGAAAAAAAAAAATACGAGAGGCCCCTATCTAGAAAGCAAAACTCCTTGGGGGGGGCCTAAAAAATTTTTTGGGACCCATTCGGACGAAATTTGGAATGTAGGTAAAAGGGGTCTGAAAAAGTTTAAATTTCATTTTTCAGCCCTCGACGAGTTACCAGAAAGGTTTTAGCCCCTATCCCCCCAATTTTGAAAAAGGGCTATTCGCGCCCTGCACTTGAGTTTCCGAATTTTAGAAAAATTAAAATTTCCATCGAATAGAGGAGCAAAAAATACGTCGAAAATGTCTCTAGGCGTTTTTTGCCCCGACGCTTCCTAAGCCCGCCAAAAAAATAATAAAGATTTTTGAAAAATTTTGGGGACCTGACACGGCGCCACTTTTTCGCTTATAACTTTGGTGATTTCGAATCGATTATCTCGAATTCGTTTTTTTTTTTTTTGAAAGAGCATTGAAATTACCTAAAAATTTGTTTCGTAGTGATATTCCAGGTTGTTTCTATCTCTGAGATATAAGCCGTCAAAGTTGAAATTTCTCTGAAAATGTATTGATAGATTTGAAGTCGATTTTCTCAAAAACGGTGCCCCGTGGAGGGGTAACTCTAATAAGCTTTTTTGAAGTTCTCAATGAGATCTACAAATTCAAGATTCAAGTTGCTAGGATGGCTAGAAGTATTTTTCAGGAACCTTCAAAGGTTGTGAGTTTAGAATGGACACTTGCTACTATGTGACAAGTTAGTCCTGTCAATTCTAAACTTTTAAGGCCTCCTTGAGGTTTGAGAAAACCTAAAGAAGCAACTATAAATTCGGACCCAAGGGCCGGCTTCTCAATAGCAAGTCACCACCGGGTTGAGCATAACTCCATTGCAACTGGAGACGCAAGGACCGGTTTTTCAATAGCGAGTCTCCTCCGGGTTAATTTTAACGCCAGGGTGAGCTTGTCCAGTTGCTTTGTTTTCCTTGGAATTATGCTTAACCCGGAGGTGGCCTGCTATTGAGAAACCGGCCCTAAGACACGTTTACCGTGGAGTTAAGGCCGGCTTCTCATCAGCGTAAACTTGACATAACTGGCGCAAATGCTGAATACGTGAATTTTGACGCAACATTCACATGGATTGGTGAATTTACGCCGCCGCGTATGTCAAATAGTTATTTGTTTTACTAGGCATTAAATCTGCTTTTCTGCCATGTAAAATATTTAATTTTTTCTCCGAATCGGTATCGTGCTTCAAAAGGTTATACAACGAACTAAACTTTAATACTTTTAAATTTGAAAAAAAATCGATAATAGAATTTGCCATAAATGCCACCAAACGCGATAATCCCAATAGGGTTATCACTTATTAAGCCTCCCGTGTCATATGGGAATAATGTACAGTAAGTTGTATAACCAGTTAAATATGCACAAGGGAAATTTCCCCCATTATCCCCCCCGCATATGCGCCCCTGTTACTAATTCTTGTTAAACGGCAAATTGACAAAAAGTGGATAATCTTACACTTTATATAATAAGTTATTGTTCAAGTACAGTACATAGGATTGAATTCATACTAACATGGTTGAAGGGGTAGTCAGAAACAGGAAAATATCAGTGGCGTACACTCGATCGACCTACGAATGGAGATCCATACGAAAATATACAAAATTTTCCGTGTGAATCTCAACAAAATGCTGATTTCGAGATATTATTTCAGAATTCATTTTACACTGACATTACAGCAGCCTTATAAGTAATCCAAATTAAATATACAAAAATCTAATTATAACATTCTTCACAGTACCATGTAATTTCCAATTTCACACACTGAGGGCTTGCTAATTAAATCATCCAACTAACTAATTACAGCGCTCTCTCAATAATTTAAAATTTTAACCGCGATTATTTGTAAATTTTAACCTTTTACCCTGCGATGGTGGTGCAACGGTAAATCGAATCGAAAAACTAAAATTTGATATTTATCGATTGTCGTGACGAAGAAGCGCGTGAACGGAGGATTTAGGACGCCCAAAAAATTAGGGCTGAAAGTGTATTATTGCAATTGCAAAATGCCGCAATTTATAATTCAGTCATTAAGAGACAAAAGCATTTGCGTCTTCTAATTACGATACCGATTATTGTAGCTCAACCCATCAAAAAGCAATTAAAAATTGTATTGATTTGCAATAATAGGCTCATCTTTTACTAACCTTGGGGCAATACTATACTTACCTGGACAAATTGAAACAAACCAAATAGAAAATTCATAAGAAATTATTAGTTTTAATTCGCCCTGGTAGAGCCCTGATTTACATAACATTTTAATTTGAAGGAGGATCGCATTCTTCATTTGGGATGATCTATTTTGATGGGCATAATAAATTCGAAGTGGTGGAAGAGTATGGGGGCGCCTCTCAGCATTGAATCAAAATGAAATGCAAAGAAGGTGCATAAAGTGCAAGGGTGTTTTAATTGACCGTTTGATTGATATAAATATAATTGTCGATCGGGTTCAGCTATCAGAGTAGTCCGAGAAGAAGAAGAAGATGAGATTGGTTAGTCAAACAAAGTTTTGAAGATTTTGTTATATATTTTTTTTTTTTTTTTAGATTATTTTGTCAGTGCTTTTAGGAGGTGTTCTTGCCGATGTTGGGTATCTACCTCCAAGGGTAGGTGGTGGGTATTCAGGAGGTGGTGGGTATTCTGGAGGTGGTGGCTATTCACCGGGAGCTGGAGCCTATTCAGGAGGAGGTGGTTATAGTGGAGGTGCTAATATACCAATTGTAAGGTAAGTAAACATTTTTTGATGATCTCAAACGTTTGTTGTTATTACCTTCTTAACTATTTGTGATTTTGTTTTCAATTTCGCACCAGAAATTAGGGTTTGAGAAACTTACTGTTCTGTAGATGGGTTGCCTAATTGATCAATCCCATTTGGAAGATTTTTATATTATTAGATATATATTCTATATACAATTTAAATTATTCTATATACATTTGGTGACTTCGGCCAAGGAGCAAATGCCCCATTGAAAATTTTACACCAAACATTATCCAGTTTTATGGTTAAGTCATCTCAAACAATCTCAGAACAGTAAGAATTAAAAGATATTTTGATTAATTTTTCATTGGAAGAACCATTTTTGAATTGAATAATTCAAAGCTTTACTCTGTCTAACACAATTTTCAATGTCTGAAATTTGATTCAACGCCAAATGCAACTGATTTTGGTTAATAAATAATAATCAGATTGATGCTCATCAGTTTTTTGAAGAATTATCCCTTCAATCAATTCATTAACTCTTCTAGGTACGTCAACAATAACCCTGGAGATGGTACCTACAATTGGCTCTACGAAACAGGGAACGGTATAAGCGCCGATGAATCTGGAGATGGTCGCGGTGATGGTACCAAAGCCAGAGGCCAATTTTCCTACACCGCTCCTGACGGTCAAAGGATCAGCCTTCAATATACCGCCGATGAAAACGGTTTTAGGCCTGTAGGAAGTCATTTGCCTACACCTCCACCAATACCAGAAGCTATTTTAAGGTACGATTTTATTCTCTTTGGATTGTCAATGCAATGATTTTTTTTCCATAGGTCTATTGAATATAACAGAGCTCATCCAAATGAAGACGGTCAATACAGGCCCGGCGCGGATGAAGGAGGTTTTAGCGGTTATAGATATTAAAAATAGGAAATTGTTTTAAAACCTAAATAGCCAGTATTATTTTAGACAAATAGTCGCTGTTATTATGTTATTATTTAATTTATTTTGCAATTTGTACCATTTGAAAAGGTACACATTTGAATTTTTCATAATAAAGTGCTTGTATTGTGAAGCCTTGTTTCTGTCACATAGCCCAATTAATAAAACAATCATATACTAGATGGAATATTTTTTCACTATAATTTACAAAACAGTACATGTCAATTTGTAAGAAATATAAGTTATCCTTTAATTTCATAAATTGCTATCGCTGGTTGATCGACTCTACCGCACCGAGTCACAGGGTAAATAGTGATTTGAACGCTTTTCGCTAAATCGAGCGAATGCATCATCGCGCTAGTTCTGGTACCGCTCATCACTTTGCTAGCTATGGTACCGTTGACGAAGATATCGTAACCTTGCACTTTCTGGTTTTTGGGTGCGTTCCATTTGACAATAAGACTATCGTCGGTGATTCTTCTTATGTCCACTACCTCGAATCCTGTAAGATCCAATTTTTGACAATCCTTCTCCTCAGTTTGAATCATAGGAGGTATTGCACAGTCGCATGTGTCGCAAGGATGTAACCCTTTTCCTTTGCTCGATGCTTTTTTTCTATGCTTGTGACTTCTTACTTCTATGGCCTTGGTAGCGACGTCTCTTACAGGAGCAGCAGTTCCTTCGTCTTTAACTCGCGTTGCAGGTGCATAAAGTACGTTTGTAACTAATCGACTGTGGGCTGAAGCATTGACATCGTGCGCTCGATCGTAATCCAATGCCGAATTAATTTTTTCTGAATTATCCAAAAGCCTGTCGAACATTTCAACGTCGCCTCTTTGAGCTAGCTCAGCAGTCATTGCCTCGATCATTTTATCTTTCGCCTTACATTTGTCTTGTAAATTATGCAGCGCCATTTTCAATCCGGACATGGTTTGACCGAAAGGGGAAGCTTTTTTAACGAAAGGCGGACCAAAGGAAGGACCAACTTCCGAACTTATTTGTTGTCCCATACTTTGAGTGCTTCTATATTCAGCTTCGTTGCAAGAACATCTGATTTTTTCCAAGGTTCTTCTGATTTCTTCAATTTGCTCTTTACATTCACAATTCTCCTTGTTAGCTGCTTGAATACTTTTTACTAGAGTTAGATTATCCATAGTTGTGACTGCTGCTGGTTTTTTGGATGTTTCTACAGGACCACGAGTAGGTTGCATTGTTTTATCGTTACAAGGCTGACACTCGCAATGTCCTGGAGGACAATCACAAGGGTTCTGAGGCGGATACATGACCTGAACGCATGGTTGAGCTAGCACCAGAGTATCGGCACTAGCTAAGACCGCATCTGGTTTTTTAGGAGTTGCGGAAGAAGGAACTTGTCGTATGGGAGAAGAAGCATCAATCGGCATTGTTGATGCGATAATACCTAGAATGCTTGTATTAGTATGTCAATTTATATATCGCTAATATTACCTTCTTCACAAGTACAAGTCGGGCAGTCGCAATGGATTGGCGTAATCTCCGACGTTCCAGGTCGTATCACCGACTCTTGGGCGCTAAAAAAACTGTCCGGTTTCTGACCTGCGTTGCTTGATTTTACTTTTCCAATTTGAATGTCCGTAACCAGCAATTCTCCCTCCTTTTTTGGTATTGGCTCAAGACCTGGAACCTCGCAAATGCACATTGTGCATAGACATGATGGACTGTGAGTGCTGGCCGTGGCTTGAACTATTGAACGTTCTTGTACTGGAGTGGCAGATGATTGTTTGTCAGCAGCAAAGGCGATTGATGGTTGTGCAGCTACAGTTTTTTTTGAACCACCTTCAAAAAATAATTGTATGTTAGTATAAATTATTCATTCAATTCTAATTTTATTCCTATGTCTGTTTTGTTTCCAAGTAAAATGTCCTTCCATATTCCATCTACTATTTGGGATGTTCAAAGATATTCCGGGAATAATTTCAATAGAGCATATCTATTTTGATAACAAAAAGCTTTTCCTGGAATATCCCAGAATTCAATATACTCGTGGCAGCTTCTTATTATTTTGCCTCGCCAACTACCAACCTTCTTTATTGCAAATAATGCAGGTGCATTCTTTACACACTGCAGAACAATCAAGTCTAGTGGGTATCTCGAACGGTGGCGCTACATAACTGTCAGGCATCATCCCTACGTGTGACTGATGGGTTCCCACATTCATCCTTTGAACAGCTATTGCCTTCCGTTCCTGGCAAATAACGCAATCGCATGGCCCGCAATCGCAATCGATTCTGTTGACGGGTTCGAACGGTGGCGGATCGTGCAAATCCAAAGTTGTTTTGGGTTTTGGTTGTGGGTCGTCGGGTTCGCATCGACAGTCGTCGCAAGTGCAAACAGGGGAATGCGTGCCAGTTTCCGCTCTAGAAGCTACCGCCTGGATCCCTGATACTCCCGGTTTTTGGGGCATAGTTTTGGGACACGACACGCATTCGCATACTTGGCAAGTGCATATTTCCGGTGTACTTTCGACATTGAAGCACGGTTTGCATTCGCAGACGGGGCACGTGCACGACTCACCATGAACTATTTTAATTATTTTTGATTTTATTTGAAAATTCAGTGTTGATTATAATTACCAGATTTTGTTGGTTCGACTGCTTGACCCGGTAGTTCTACTCCTGAGGGTCCTGGTAGACGACGCTCTCCTGGAACTTCTTTTTCAGATGCTTTATGTTCCGAATGTCCTTTAAACATAAATTGATTTTTACCATTTAACTAGGAGTTAGTCTTGCAACCCTCACCTTTACATTCCACGCAAATGCAGGTCTCGCAAATACATTCTCCCTCAGCATGATGGGAATCGGTAATCGCAACTAGAACAGAAGGGTGTTCCTTCACGCCAGGTGTTACCATCACTGAACCTACTGGAGCTGCAAGCAATGCAGCAGGTGTCATTTTGTCGAATGTACAATCCACGCAAAGGCAGTCAGAACATTGACAGCCTGGGAACAAAAAAAAAATATATATTTATACGAAATAACCTGCATAAAATTCCGAATGGAAACCCCTAGAATGTATTTTAAATTTCAAGTGGTAGTAGTTAACGGAAAAATGGGAATCTAGGGAAGATATATAGATAGAAGGAAGTCCAAAATATGCAAATCTGCTGAAGTCCAGGGAAGTTGCAGAAATATGAGGAAGTTTGGGAATTTAATGATGAAAATCAGTGAGAATTTCCCACTTACTTCCAAAGAAGCGTGGAGGCAGGGGCCTTTTGAAAGGGGAGGACAGTTTGAGTAAGCCAGATTGGGTTAGTTTGGGTTAGTTTTGGCAGCGCATTGTGCAAGATACGGTTTTTCGAAGGAATGGCCCATAAAAATATGGGAATGGGGTAACTATTTAGGAGAATGAGGTGATTTGAAATAGGAAGGTATGTATTAGAACAGTAACTTATTGTGACAAGTTATTCAAGTACAAACGGGACGAGCGCAGCAAGTTCCGCAGTCACCTATTCATTAATACGATGTTCTAATACGATACTAACCTGACTCACTCAAATGTCAGTTATTCTCATTGGATCAAAAACTACAAGTTTCAGGTGAGTGTCTTATTTGAATAGTTCAACAGTATATTGGTGAGTAGATGGCTGCGGAACTCGCTGCGCTCGTCCCACAGAGGTCCACCCATAAGTTCCGCAATAATCCACTTATTTGTACTTGAATAATAACCTATTATATAAAGTCAAAATTTGTAAGATTATAATTATTCACTTTTTGTCGATTTGCCTTTCAACAGAAATTAGTAATGTTACTTCACCAAGATAGTATCATAACGTGACAAGTTATTCAAGTACAAATGAGTGAATTGTTGCGGAACTTATTGGTGGACCTCTGCGGGACGAGCGCAGCGAGTTCCGCAGCCATCTATTCATCCAATATGTTGTTTAATTACGATACTTAACTGACGGCCATTTGCACCGCTATAACTTAAGGGATATTCAATCTAAGTGGAGCTTTGAATGTGATTCTCGTAGGAACAAAAGTCAAATTCAAAAGCTCCACTTAAATTAAATATAAGTGATAGCGGTGAAAATGGCCATGACTCACTCAAATGTGCGTTATTCTTATTAGTTTAAAAATTAAACGTTTCAGTTGAATGTCTTACTTGAACAGTTCAACAGTATATTGGTGATTAGATGACTGCGGAACTCGCTGAGCTCGTCCCGCAGAGGTCCACCCATAAGTTCCGCAACAATCCACTTATTTGTACTTGAACAATCACTTGTTATATAAAGTCAGAGTTTGTGAGATTATCCACTTTTTGTCAATTTGCCTTTCAACAGGAATTAGTAATGTTACTTTACCAAACTAGTAATATATTGTGATAGGTTATTCAAGTACAAACGAGTGGATTGTTGCGGAACTTATGGGTGGACCTCTGCGGGACGAGCGTAGCGAGTTCCGCAGCCATCTATTCATCAATATGTTGTTTAATTACGATACTAACCTGATTCACTGAGTTGAGAATTTCACTTATTAATTCAAAAACTACACGTTTCAGGTGAGTGTCTTATTTGAACAGTTCCACAGTATGTTGGTAAGTAGATGGTAAGTAGATGTTGGTAAGTAGATGGTAGAGAGAGGTCCACCCATAAGTTCCGCAATAATCCACTTATTTGTACAGGGTATTTTTTTTACACTTACATAGTAGATGAGGCAGGCTTCATTGAGCTCAAATTTGGGCCCGGTCCGATGGGTCGTTTCGGCATAATACCCTTGTCAAGCAAAATGGGGATGTTTCTAAAGCAGTCTGTCGAATTGAGGATAATTTTTTTATATTTATTTTGAAAAGTCCACTGATAAGTCGAAATGCCAAACTATCGATCCTCTATCTCAGATTTTCCAATTAATTTTTTTATCGCAAGTAAAACGGCTCCAAACATCACTGAAAATGGGAAAAAAATTTGATTTGCGTGGGTGGGGGGGAGCTCGCTGTCACTCCGTTTGAATTCCCGTCATTTTTTTCCATTTTCAGTCATGTTCGAAGCCGTTTTACTTGCGATAAAAAAATTAAATGGAAAATCTGAGATAGAGGATCGATAGTTTGGCATTTCGACTTATCAGTGGACTTTTCAAAATAAATATAAAAAAATTATCCTCAATTCGACAGACTGCTTTAGAAACATCCCCATTTTGCTTGACAAGGGTATTATGCCGAAACGACCCATCGGACTGGGCCCAAATTTGGGCTCAATAAAGCCTGCCTCATCTATTATGTATGTGTAAAAAATTAATTGTCTAGTATGAAAATTAAAAAAGTTAGGAGTTTTTTACGAAAATATTTTTTTTGGGGGGAAAAAAATAATTTCTCGAAGACTAAAAGACCTACAGGGTTGTATGATGGCTCATTTTAAAGCTTGTTCAATGCTCTAAAACTATTGCCATAGTAGCAAAACCATCCGATCCTTAGTTTTCGAAATACATTGAAATAAACAAAAAAAAGCCCTGTACCCTGTACATACATAATCCTCCCTCGCCCCCCCCACCCCACTGTATCCGCCACTGCGCGGAGGAAATAAATTTTTTTTTAGAAATTCGAGAAAGTTCTGGAAAGATCTGAGATAGTATTGGAATAATCCGAGAAATATACAGCAATCAAAAAGAAAGTGGCATAAAGAAGATTATATCCGTTTCTAGAATGCAAAAAATTATATGCACTTTATTGCACAACATAAACAATGTATACAATTCAATGCTTACCTTCAACATGTCCAACTTTTGGCTCCATCCTTTCACAATCCACGCACATACAGTCTCCACATAGACAACTCATTATGTGAGACTCTTTGGCACCCATTCTGTGAGACTCTTTGGCACCCATTCTAGCTTGCGATTCGGTTCCTTTCGTTCCTTCATCACCACAAACATCACAATTACATTTTATGCACGTACAATCTTTGCCGTGTTTTGAACCAGGAGGTTTATCTTCTACGTCCGTCAATAATGGACAGTCATCGCATATACACTCGGAGCATTTACAAACGAGCGTATGAGTGCCTTTGGTGTCACATTCAATGCAAAAGCATTCCGAACAATTACATTGCAAAGCGTGAGTTCCTTTTTCTTGTGGTTTCGGTTGGATTCCTTTTTCCGTTTGATGAACCGATTCCGTTTGGATCATTTCTTCCAAGCACTTACAATCATCGCAAGGGCAATCAGCAGGATGCGGCACTTTTTCCGGCATATCGGTAGATTTGCTTGCAACATTAGGTGATACACATGGCTCGGGAACTTTTTCGACTTGTTTCTTTGGATCGGCACATGGAGCACATAGGCATTCACTGCAATCGCAATCTTCAACAGATTCGCTCAAAATTGCCACCGTAGGTTTCTTATTTGGATCTGCACATGGAGAACATTTGCAATCGGAGCAATCACATGATTCCAATTTGGATCCAGAGTCTGATGGTTTGGGCGGTAAGTTCGTCTGTCCTGGACACTCGCACACGACACAGTTACATTCTTCATCGCCCGCACCTATTTCAGACGGGACTGCGTCTACTGCCCTAGGTTTTGGCTCAGTAGCACCGTGTTTTCTAAAGTCATCGATACCTGGACAAGTACACGCCGAACAGTTACAGTCATGTGGATGTTCTGGCTCGGTAACACCGTGTTTTCTAAAGTCATCGATAGCTGGACAAGTACACACTGAACAGTTACAGTCAGGAGGATGTTCTGCGTCTCCAGCACTTGTTGCTGTAACTGTAGCTGGCTCGACTGCTTCTGGTTTAAGTAAGTCAGCACCCGGACAAACACATTCAACGCAAGGGCAAGGCTCATCTTCTCCAGCATCTTTTCTAACATCTTTTTTAGGCATTGAGTCACTTCCTGGACATACGCAATCTTGGCAGTCACATATTTCATCTTCCGCAGGTTCTTCTTGTTCGTGATCCGCAGGAGGGCCGCTTGTTTTTTGAACAGCAGCCAATTTATCTTCAGCCTCTTTCAATCTTTTAGCTAATTCTTTCACAGTACACGGTTGACATTCACAAGGCGAAGTTTTACAACAGCAAATTGTATCGCCACATTCCGTGGACGATGGCTTAACAGCCATTTTAGGCGATGGTGTTGCTATAGGTTTAGGAATTTTTTCATCGGGACAATCGTTGCACTTGCACTGTTCACAATCGCAAGCTATCGAACCGTAAACGCTTCCTGACGATTCACCTTCTTTAGCCGGCTTGGTGACAGAAGCTACGGCTGAAGGTGAAGATTTGTACGTCGGTGGATTTGCTGAAGATGTCGAAATCGGTATTCTAGATCTAGCTGCTGCCTGCTGTTCCAGATAACGTCTTGCGTTTTTAGCATTGACGCAAGTGTCGCATTTTATTTTAACTTGATATACTTGTTTTGTATCGTAGACTATGGGGTATTCTTTTGTGTTTGCGAGTTTTTTAATTTTTGGCATGCATAGACAGTCGATGCATTCACAACTTGATGGGTGTTTCAGTTTTTTTCTTGCCTCCGCTTCATCTGTAGATGTGTCAACATAATTTCTTTTGCCCTTGGCGTCTGTTTCGTCTGTGGATGTATCATGTTTGGTTTTTTGTTTGGCGTTTGCGTCATCTCTTGAGGCCACGGCTTGTTTGGATTTTCTTTTGACATCATTAGCTGCACAAGTTTCATTGTAGTTTTTTCCTTTAACATTTGATGTAGAAGGAACGTTTTCTTGGTACCTGCAAGCGTTACATCTGCAATTCGTTGCATGGCCCACAGGTGGCATACTGTATGTCATTTGCATCGGTGGCATAACAATCATTTGAGGTACCATCATCATATTTGGTGGACAATCACACGATCTCACAGTTCGCTTAAGTGCCCTGCTGGATTTTTTTTTCACAGAGCACATTTCACATCCGCATACATCTGGAGCATTGCAAAGGCATTTCATAGAATCGAAAGTTTTGGGGCGCTTCTTTCTAGACATCTTAGGTTTTCTGGAAGTTGACTCAATGGCTGGTCTTTCTTTGTCTGATAGCTGAGAAACGATTGAGGGTACTTCTTCGAGCGATCTTTTGGGGTGCTTTTTCAGTTTTTCTTTTTCACTTATAGATGTTGATGTTGTGGTGGTGGTATCACTTCTGGCAGCCACTAATTCTTTAAGCTCCTTTCCTTTAGAGCTTTGTACGGATATTGTTTTACAGCTCGCTTTGCAAGAGATTGAACCGTCTCGTGATTGAGACCGTTGCTGGCGAGTAACACCTTCGAAAACATCTCCAATGGAAATAATTTTTTTTGCGCTTCGTTTGGGTGTAATATTTTGTATTGTGGCTTTAGATCTACACGGTGCTTTGCAACCAACCGACGCTTCTTTTGAAGAAGCTGTACGAGGTATTAGTCTGGGGATAGATTTTGCACTTTGACGTGGAGATCTTTTTCTAAAGTCATCGGTAGGTGTTCCAGCTGTACGACAAGGTGCTTTGCAAGTAATAGATACATCTTTAGAAGATTGCTCGGGAGTCATGAACTTTGAATCTGGTGTTGTCGCAGTCACAGTTGGCGACACAGAATATCCAAGCTCTGTAAGAATTTCTGCTTGTTCCTTAGAAGTTTTACCAACTAATTCTGGATGTTTTTCTAACATTTCTGAACCAACAGGTATTTGAACTGATGGAGTTTTGATAGTGCTCGGAGTTGGTGACACAGAATATCCAAGCTCTGTAAGAATTCCTGCTTGTTCCTTAGAAGTTTTACCAACTAATTCTGGATGTTTTTCTAGCATGTCTGTCCCAACAGGTACTTGAACTGATGCAGTTTTGACAATGCTGGGAGTTGGCGATACGGAATATCCAAGCTCTGTAAGAATTTCCGCTTGTTCCTTAGAAGTTTTACCAACCAATTCTGGATGTTTTTCTAGCATGTCTGTCCCAACAGGTACTTGAACTGATGGAGTTTTGATAATGCTCGGAGTTGGCGATACGGAATATCCAAGCTCTGTAAGAATTTCTGCTTGTTCCTTAGAAGTTTTACCAGCCAATTCTGGATGTTTATCTAGCATGTCTGTCCCAACAGGTACTTGAACTGATGGAGTTTTGGCAATGCTCGGAGTTGGCGACACAGAATATCCAAGCTCTGTAAGAATTTCTGCTTGCTCCTTAGAAGTTTTACCAGCCAATTCTGGATGTTTATCTAGCATGTCTGTCCCAACAGGTACTTGAACTAATGGAGTTTTGACAATGCTCGGAGTTGGCGACACAGAATATCCAAGATCTGTAAGAATTTCTGCTTGTTCCTTAGAAGTTTTACCAGCCAATTCTGGATGTTTTTCTAGCATGTCTGTTCCAACAGGTACTTGAACTGATGGAGTTTTGACAATGCTCGGAGTGGGCGACACAGAATATCCAAGATCTGTAAGAATTTCTGCTTGTTCCTTAGAAGTTTTACCAACCAATTCTGGATGTTTTTCTAGCATGTCTGTTCCAACAGGTACTTGAACTGATGGAGTTTTGACAATGCTCGGAGTAGGCGACACAGAATATCCAAGATCTGTAAGAATTTCTGCTTGTTCCTTAGAAGTTTTACCAGCCAATTCTGGATGTTTTTCTAGCATGTCTGTTCCAACAGGTACTTGAACTGATGGAGTTTTGACAATGCTCGGAGTTGGCGACACAGAATATCCAAGATCTGTAAGAATTTCTGCTTGTTCCTTAGACGTTTTACCAGCCAATTCTGGATGTTTTTCTAGCATGTCTGTTCCAACAGGTACTTGAACTGATGGAGTTTTGACAATGCTCGGAGTTGGCGACACAGAATATCCAAGATCTGTAAGAATTTCTGCTTGTTCCTTAGACGTTTTACCAGCCAATTCTGGATGTTTTTCTAGCATGTCTGTTCCAACAGGTACTTGAACTGATGGAGTTTTGACAATGCTCGGAGTTGGCGACACAGAATATCCAAGATCTGTAAGAATTTCTGCTTGTTCCTTAGAAGTTTTACCAACCAATTCTGGATGTTTTTCTAGCATGTCTGTTCCAACAGGTACTTGAACTGATGGAGTTTTGACAATGCTCGGAGTTGGCGACACAGAATATCCAAGATCTGTAAGAATTTCTGCTTGTTCCTTAGAAGTTTTACCAACCAATTCTGGATGTTTTTCTAGCATGTCTGTTCCAACAGGTACTTGAACTGATGGAGTTTTGACAATGCTCGGAGTTGGCGACACAGAATATCCAAGATCTGTCAGAATTTCTGCTTGTTCCTTAGAAGTTTTACCAACCAATTCTGGATGTTTTTCTAACATTTCTGTACCAACAGGTATTTGAACTGATGGAGCTTTAACAGTGCTCGGAGTTGGTGATACAGAATATCCAAGCACTTTAAGAATTTCTTCTTGTTCCTTAGAAGTTTTACCAACCAATTCTGGATGTTTATCTAGCATGACTGGCTCAACAGGTATTTGGACCGATGGAGTTTTGGCAGCGCTCACAACGGATGGGATAGAATATCCATGCTCCCTAAGAATTATTTCTTGTTCTGCCGAAGTTTTACCAACCAACTCTGGATATTTATCCAAAAGTTCCTTATGGACAGACTTTGACGTTACACTAGGCTTAGAAGCATCATAGTCAATAATTTTGTGAAATCCTCCTGATGAGGCAATTCCAGGAAGCTCGTATCCTATTTCTTTTAGCCTTGATTGTCGGTCTGTTATTGACATAGTGGCCAATTCTGGATGCTTAGCAAGGATATCATCCGTGAGTTCCATATCTTTTGCGGTCTCACTCTCCCGTCTCTTCATAACCTCCAAAAATGTTTGTTGCTCTTCTGGCGACATGATAGCAGCATCTACAACTTGGGCAAGAATTTCTTCCGAAATTGGATGATCAGTTTCTAATGTTATTGGCATACTAGCGGGATGTTCAGCAAGTAATTCTGCATTGATTACATCAGTTGATTCACTTTCTGCTAAATGTAGGTTTTCAGGAAGTCTTTTCAGTTTTTCTCGTGCTGCATCACTGAGATGAATTCCTTTTCTTTTTAAGAATTCTTCTTGTTCACTCAATGATTTGCCTTTGAGCTCAGGATAATTTTCAAAGAGATGTGCTGTAACTGAATCTTCTGGTCTGGTAATTAATGAATCAGCTGAAAAATCTTCCGGAATATCACCTAATGTGAGGTGAAAAGTATTCAGATTGATTTGTGAAAATTAAGAGATTAATCTTACCTTGATGACTGCTTGAAGTTTGGGCTTGAATATTCTCAGTGAATTCGCTGATGGTTACAAATTCTGAATCGGTGTCTGTTTTGGCGTCTTCGATGGTTTCCTCCAATGCTTTTCCCATTTCTTCCGATTTTTCAGTGATGGTTTGTTTATCACCGGATGTTGAAGTTCCGATGGTCTAAAAAAAGTCAAAAACTCATTAGAAAAAAAAGCATTCCAAGCACATTAAACTTTGAGGTGCAACTTCAGGGGTGATAGATTCTATAGTGCAAAACTTGATAAGATTAAATCATAGGATGAATTCGTGGACGTAACTCTACACAAAAACTTGTTAAAAGTTCAGGTAAAGTATGAATCCTGCACAATTTTCCGCAAAATTTGTCACAAGTTAAAAAATCCTCTTGTATCTTCTAAAATACACTACTTAGTTTGCAAATATTATATCAAACCTACTTTACACTCGCAGCATTGACATGACTGATCTGTTTGAGTTTTTGATTGACATCCGCAATCACGGGTTTTACTGGGTTCAGGTGGGCAAGGTACTTCATCTGGAAACAGTAGTTTAGCTTATTTGAAAAAATATTCAATCATGTACCTTTTGTAGATTTCATTGGTTCGCTAACACCTGTCTCTGACTCTTTCATGAGAGTTTTGTCTAGAGGAATTTCACTAGGTTTCATCGAGATTTCTGTCTCTTTCACTTTCACTGTTGTTACTACGTCATCTCTCATTTGCGCATCGACAAAAATTTCCGCGGAAGCTTTAAAGTCGGAAGGTGGTAGAGATTTAGTTTTAGCAATTGCAGCAGTAGGTTTCCCTAGCGCTTCTTCTTCCAAGTCCGAAACTCCTTGTTCTGAAGTGAAAACTTCTCCGCTCCTAACCTCTCCTGCAGTGTAACTGCTTCCTTCCGCTTCCTCTGATTCCTGTTGACCAGCCCAACTAACACTTTGTGGAACTTCACTTTGTTCTCTAGGAATTGCTTTTCCAGGTTTTCCAGGAGTTTCTTTCTGCTCTTCAGGTCGATATTCAACATCAAGAAGTTCCTTTGAACTTTCTACTCCCATTATTGTTTGTCCAAAATATTTCGGCGCCTCAATATGTTGACCGATTGGTGTTTCTCTTGTTGGCGGGTATACCATGGGTGCAGACGATTCGCCAAAAGCAGATGTGAGATCCGGCGTCTTGCCTACACCAGGCTTTATGCCAGAAGAAATGGTGTCCATTTTACTGGTCAAATCAGATTCATCATAAGCTGAAGTTGTATAGGATGTGTCTGCTTCCGGACCAGAAATACCAGAGATGTTACTTGATTCAACCGGCAATACAAAAAGAGGTTTTTTTGGACCATCTTGACAAACTTTGCTCTCGTCACATGTTACATAACCAGGCAATTTCTTCATGGAAGTACATGTAGCATCAGGAGTGCATGGCATATCTTTGGGTGTCTTTGGAGGCTGACTGGCATATCTCTCCATGGCAGCTTCGGCAGCTCTTTCCTCCTCTGAGTTTTTATCATAAACACCAGAGACTACGTCAATCTGGCCGTCATCAGTGTACGTTAAAGTAGTTTCAATAATTCCCATGGGTCCTTCGGTGACCACTTGCAAAGTTCCAGAGTCGGTAATGATGCTTGTCATATGCACGTCGTCTGCGGGCTTACCCACGGAATAAGCGACATTTGTAACGTCTACAGGAAAGTCTCCACCGTCGCGGCTTTCTTCGAAAGGAATCTCTATAGGAGACTGGGCCTCTTCCATATCTTCGGTGAGTTCTTCGCCCATAGTGGCATCAGAATGCGGCGTCGCTTCTTGGACTTGTGCAACGCCACTAGAACTGGCGGTTGTTGGTTTTTGAGGAACAGTTTCACCAGAAACTTCTGTTTGAGTTTCGAGAATTTCTGCGCTTTCTTCAAATGCTGGCTTGTCATGAGGTGCGGTTGATTGTTCTTGAGGAGCAGTTTCACCAGTAACTTCAGTTAGAGTTTTTAGACCTTCTGCGCTTTCTTGTAATGCTGGCTTGTGAAATGATTCGGCTGTAGGTGTCAAAAATCCGGCATCTTCAGATTTAGCTTCGAACACTTTCTCAATAATGTTATCGGTGATACTTGAAATATAAATTGGCAATTCATCTAAAAAAAAAAATGTTCATACCTTCAAAGTAGTAATAATAATAATAAATACAAATCACCTTTTTTCTCTGAAGGCTTGGATTCCGGAACAGTTTCAGAAGCTTTCTCAAACATTGGCACTTCCTGGACAGCTTGGTCTTTTACAGGCACCATAAGTGAACATGTTGCCTCGCAATATTTATCTACATGTGACCGTTGACTTGTGGCATCCTTTCTACAAGGTTCTCCTACAGGGCTGCAGGGCCATTGTTCTTTTTGATCCATTGTATATTTGCTCTGTCCACACGGAGTGCCAATTTTAAAACAGGGCGCTTCCCCTGTACTGAAATAGCTCGATTGCACATTGTCCACGTCCAATTTGCTGCTATCGTGTTTTTTGACAAACGAATCTGGCACTGGAAGAAGAGTTTTCACTGTTTTTTCTTCGGCTTTGTGTCTCGATGTGTCACCTAGTTAATACTTTTATGTATCATCAATACAGTTGAACAATGGTTTTACCTGTATCTCCTTGACAGCAACTGCAACATTCTTCAAGTAATTCTCTTGAAGGCACTCCAGACTGGCAACGGCAACCACTCGCACCAAAAGCCGATCCAACTTTCCTCTTCCTTACCATATCAGTTAAATCTTTGATGCACTTAGCGGCACTAGCCAATTCAGTGGGGAGTTTCGAGCATTCCTCGCAAGGAGCCAGATCTTTGATGGTTTTACTCAGTTTCCTTGCTATCACGTCTAAGCTCGAGTCGCATTTGAACTCTGCCGAAGTTGAACGCATGACAGGGGCAGACTTTCCACCCGATTTACGAGCGGTTATTCTTTTGATAGTTTCAGCTTCGTTTAGTTTCTGCTTGATCAAATCGTCTTCCAGTTTTTGACACAAACAGTCCAAGTTGGTCATTTCATCTTTGAGTCTCTGATTCATTTGGTTCAGATCGGTTATGTTAGTGCAAGCGCAGCAGAGTTGAAGTTTTAGTTGGTTCATATCCCGGGCGTGCGCGTCCTAATAGAGAGAAGTTAGTGAGTATATTATGGGTTTTGGGTGAGTGATGTTTTTTTTTTTTTACTTGGTTCAGGAGGATATTTTTTGAGGCATCTTGCAATTCCCTGTGTAAGTTTTCGCATTTTTTCTTTTCGGTGTGCAGCTTCAGTTTCATGGGACCTTCAATTTTTTCCAGGCAATGTTTGAGCTCCAGTTTCATTTCTACTAGCTCGGATTTCAAAATTTCATTCTCCAAATGCAGCTCGCGGCTGATTTTTTCGATTTCGGCGTTCATGCTCGGAGGGGAGGCGTGGCAATGGCAACAGAGGTTGCTGGTTTTGGTGAAGACATTTTGCACGTTTCTTGTAGCCTGTAAGTAAGTGGATTTTTAAGGTTTTCTGGCTTCATGTGAATGTACCTTTTGATATTGCTGCTCTCTTTTCTGCAGTTCTCCAATCTGAGCCCTTATTTGTTTTTCTCTTTTAGCCATTTCGGCGATATTTTGCATTTCCAATATGTCGGCGGACGTCAAAGAATAAGTGCTTTCTCCGCATATTTTCTTCAGACCTTCGGTAGTATTACAAGAACAAGAGATCTACAGAAATATTTTTATTTAGAAATTGATAATATTGCGTTGTAGCTTACTTTGTTTTTGGATTTGTGACCGAAAATTTCAGTATGATCTAAGATAGGTGATCCAATAAACGCACACTGATTTCCACCATCTTGGCGTGCTTTGAGTGATTCAAAATGAGATATTGTTTCTTTAGCTAAAAGAAATTATAGGTGGGCAAAAGATTGATAGGTAATAATTTACTTACCTTGAACTTGACCCTTTTGTAAATCACCATCACCAGTTTTGCTTTTCTCTTCAACAACTGCGTTACATATTGCTTTACATGTCCCACTTGGAATTGCTTCATGTGGCACAATTGGTGCTGAATAAGTCGAGCCAACAGTCACTGTTTCTTTTTGTATTTGTACGCCCTTAACTTGGGATTTTATTTGGCTGCTTGTTTGTATTCCAGCACTAAGATTATCTAAAGAAATAAAAATTAAAACCTATATGATGGTAGAGAGATTTCCAAGAAGTCAGGGAGTCAGGGCTACTCAAATAAGTTGAAGGCCTAAACATCAAGAACTGGACGGTCATCAAGCGTGGGGGGGGATGGCCATCTAGTTACCCCAACCCTCACTGTAGACAGTGGGTCTGCAGAGAAACTGGACGCAGGGAGCTATGTAATCAGCTACAAGTTTGGGCACAGAACAGTGAAACCCACAAGTGGCGGATTACAGAAAAGCCTCAAGCAGCAAGAGGCGCAACCTGGTACGTCCAAAGATGTAGATTCTGCAATACCAGAGGATTCCAAAGATTCCCAAAACCAGAGGCTACAAGCTTGAAGTGAAGGTAGAGAGGAAATCTAGGAAAAGAGCCTCTCTATATAATCTAGGGTCGTACAAATGGCTAATATACAACCAAAAACCACCAACCTCAACAGTGGCACTTCGTTCGTGAATTGCATCCAAATAAACCTGCAACATATGCAATAGCTGCCACCAGCGAGCTTAGAAGAAGGATATTTGGACAGGGATTAAACATAGGGCTTCAAGAGCCCTGGATAAATGGCGGAAAGATCATGGGTCTCAACATTAAATCATGTAAATTAATATATAGTACAAAACATGACAGACCATGAGCAGTTCTCGCCCTTAAGAAAACTCGCCTCCGGCTCGTTTTCTAATATAGGGCTCGTGCGATAAAATGACGTCTTATGAAACTTGTATTTTAATGTACTATTATGAGCTTGACATTTTGTTATAGTTTTTGACAAGTGTCAAATATAGCCCTAGTAGAAGTGTAGCTTGCTCCTGTAATTTTCCTTTTAATTCATTATTAAAAGCTCCTGCAGTAAAGTTTTCGTGCTTAATAGATTTCTTAAATTATAAGAAACCTGAAACTCCAAAAAAAAAGTAACCCTGAAACTAGACAAACACGCTCTTCATATAGTGTCCGTTTACACACCGGATACTGGAAAGCCTGTCCAGGAGACCATCGATTTCTACGAACAGCTCCAACTGCTGATAGAAACAATACCCCAACATGAAGGCATATTAATAATGGGCGACTTAAACGGAAGAGTAGGGAACGAGGTAATACCGGGAGTCAAGAATAGATTTAATGAGGAGACAGTGAACGAGCGAGGTGAGAAGCTTGTTGAATTTTGCGCTTAGCAGGAACTAAGGATCAACAACACTTACTTTAAACACAAACCTCAACACAAAGTCACGTTTCAGGGCAATAGAGGGGTAACGTCCAGAATAAACTAGAACCAGAGCAAATACAGGATGTTAGATCAGTAACATCGGCAAAGCCTCAGCCTACTTTCCAGGGGACGTAAATGAAGCCCCACCAGAGACGGTCCAACGTCTCATACAATGGTGCACGGTCAAAGACAGGGATTTTATCAACGATGCTGACTCCAACTCACACCACCAAGAAGGACAAAATAGATATAATCAGCAAGGACAGCAAACTGACATTCATTAATGCGATCAGAAAAGAGGTCCTAGACGTGACCCTAGCTGATCCTTTCATAACACATACAGTAACTAACTGGCATGTCTCTGACGAACCTTCTATGTCGGACCCTCAAATGATTAGTTTCGACTTAAAGGCCTTTTTCTCCCAGGCAATTATCCTGGAAAGGACTTTTGTCGGATATTTTAGGACACCAACCCCCAATTGGAGGTTTGATGCAGGTTTCCCTTACGACGAACTGGGTTTTCCGAAAACCCTATTTTGCGCCTGGAGGATCTAATCGGTGACTCTCTCACTTCTTTCTTCGTGCTCGTACGCAGCTCGCATCAACAATACTAGGGGGGATCGTCAGCTGGCCGCCTAATGCGATTCCGAAAGCTAGAGACCCACGCAAAGTATTCTAACACGCGCTCCAAGTGCAGGGTAAGCAGGTCACCATACTTCTGTCGAGAAAAATGAGGAAAGAGCTCTTCGTTTTCTCTGGCGCAGAGAACAGGGGCAGACAGGTGAAATGATGTCTCGATCACTGTCCGTAAAGAAACCAGCCAGACTCCCAAAGTAAAGGGCTTGTCCTACGAAAGAAGTCGGAGGCTGGCAAAATAGAATTAAATAGGCGATAGCGTTGATTAAGGGTTACAACATCCTAAAGGTAGACCTCCAAATAATATTCAAATCTAGGGCTGGTGTGAAATTCATTCCAAAGGCAGGGCGCCGACCAGAGGATGAACCAAAATCCTATCGACCCATCAATCTAACATCCTTTCTCCTTAAATCCATGGAGAAGTAATAGATCAATATATTACAAGAGAAATTCTAAATAGAACACCGCTTCGTCCAAGACAGTTTCCTTATCAAGCAGGCAAATCCACAACAAGTGCACGAAGTGCACTTCATTGTCTAGTAACAGTAACAGAAAAATAATTGTGTTTCGTTTAGAGTGGGGGCTCGCAGATCCAACTTCTTTCTTTTCGTAAACGGAACTAAAGTCGAATGCGAATAGTGCATGGAATTTAATCGAAAACTGGAGTGTGGAAGAAGGATTTGCCATAAAAACTTACTTGGAACAATCATCTGAACAAAATAATATCACGAGTTACAGCGGCCATTTGGACATGCCGCAAACTCGTGGGAGAAACATGGGGTATATGACCAAAAATGGTACCTATACTGGATTTACCAAACAGTTATCAGACCCTTGTCGTCTCGTTGGTTTGGTGGCCAAAGACTGAGCAAATCACTGCACAGAACAGTCTACGTAAAGTAGAAAGGCTAATCTGTCTAGGAATGACAGGGGCTATGTCAACCTGCCCCACCGCAGCCTTGGAGGCACTGCTGAACATGCCTCCCCTTCACCTATGTGTGAGAAAAGAGGCACACGCCTACAGGCTATTCCAGACAAAAATATTTAAACCTGATGAACTAAATGGCCATTTACGCATTCTTCATGAAATTGTTGTGAAAGAACGCCAATCATGGATGAACGCAAAGCTACCGCAAGCGAACAACGCATCATTGCGGTACACTGTCTGATGAAATATCACCTAAAAACAATAGGCAAAGCAGACAACGACCATTGTAGATTTTGCGAACAAGCAACAGAAACCACATAACATTTAAATTGTGAATGCTGTGCAAACCTCTGCAAGATGCTGGAGGGAATAGGGCTAACACCCCAAGAGATCGCCACCCAGGAAGCTGGCCTCCTTTGGAAGAAGCCTACAAATCTTGGACACCAACTAGAAGCAGAGTTACGCATAAAATATCTGGAAAGGTAGCAGTGCTTGAGCGGCTGTAACTACTCGACTCATATGCAATCTACAATCTAATGTGGAAAAATAAAATCAATACATGCTTACTTTTATATGAGGGACACGTTGGCAATTGGCAACAAGTGACGCATTTACTAGCATTTTCTTGAGCTAATTGAATGTAAATCTCCTTGTTTTCAACGGCAGCTTGAACTTCGGCTACAGTTGTTTTGCCTTTTTCGACGAATAGTGAAACTGGAGGTATTTTGCCACTTTGTTGTTGACCTGTTAAAGATACTTTCGTGGTCACCACATTACTATCATCAAGCACTACTGAAGAACCACAAGTGCAATTTTCGCAAGAACATTTTCCTGATATCAGTATAGACTGTGGAGTACTATCTTCTTGCCAGGGACATTTTTCGGATTTGGATAAACTGCTTGAAAGTGGCTCTGATGTAGTCTGCGTATCTTCCTAAAATTTAAACATTTTACTAATAAAGCTTTGGACTAAAAATGTATTACTTTTGTTGCAGGACCAAAAGGATCAGGTCTAGTGAATTCACAAGTACAAGCAGCATCTTGCCGACTGCTAGGATCGGTGAAATCACAGCTACAACTGCTTCCCGATGATTTGTCAGTTAGCGTATTATCATAATCGACTACATTTTGTTGTAGCGAAACATCTTCGTCTTTTGTTGGTATTTCACTTAAAGTTTTCTCAGTTTCACCTTCGGCAATATCAAGAGTCACAGTGGTGCGACCTGTGGTTTCTGTCGTAGGGTAATTTGTCTCAGTGGTGGTAGTCATTGGTGCTTCACTAACACTAGTCGTTTTATTAACCACAGCATTGGGACACTGACAAGTTATACTTAAAATGCTTCTGGCATTGTCCATCATTTTTTGGAAAAAGCTACATGGTTTTGCAATGGGCGGTTGAGGCTGATGAATGACTTCAGTGACGACATTGGGTATGCCAGCCACATCTCTTACTGGAGTATCAGGAAAGATTTTTGGCACGCACGAACAACCCTGTTCGGAGTCAAACGAGTGATCGGTTTTGGCTGAAAATTAAATTCAAATAAACAAATACAACTATTAAGGTGTTTGAGTCACATACATATGAACATTTCCATTTTCATAATTTTCTGTTCCAGGTCTTGTTGTTGAGCCTGCAATTTGGCCGTTCTATTTATGTACTTTTTTTTGAGTTTTTCTAAATATTCCGCCGGATCTGGCGCGTCGCAACCGCATGAGCTCGTCGTTGAATCCATGATTCATGCTTGCTTGTTTCTTTTCTGCTAACGTTAAATTTTGGAAGAGAATTAAAATGACTACAGAAAAGATTTTTCAAAAATTTGACAGTCTCAAATATGTCAACTGGTAGAAGCATCATCGTCATTTTTTTTTTTTTTTTTTTTTTTTCATTGAAAAATATTGTGGGAGGGAAATTTTTTAGTAATGGTGAAATCGCTTTCGAAACTTTTTTATTATGGGGTTAAAGTTTTTGCAAAATCGCTGAAGAAGTCCGTGCAAGAGGAGATTGAGCTCAGCAAGCAAAAAGCAAATATTAGATATGCTGACAAGGCTTTAGAGACAGGGAAAGATGGAATGACTTTGGAGGAAGCACAACAAATTCTTAATTTAAGAAAATTGGGTAAGAATTATTGACATTTTGGTGGAGAGATTTTCATGGATTCTTGCTAGGATGGCGAGGTCTTTTAAGAACAAAATTTTAATCATTTACAGAGAAAATTCTGGTCAGAAATGATAAGACTGATAAAATACCATCGTTTGCTTGTATTGCGGAAATGTTTAATAGGTAGAAAATTATTCATTTGCTTTAGATTTTAGTGATAGGTACAGCTGCGTCAAGTGTTAGCCCTCCCACATTTGAATTTTCTAAAAAAATTGCAAACACCTACTGTGCTCGAAGTGTGCTTTACTGTGCCGATGATATTTTGAACTGTGCCGTTTCGATAACAAATAAGGTATAGGAAAAAATAGATGAGGGGCTAACTTGACGCTCAGCCTCCCCAAAATTTTGAAAATCAGATTAAACGAAATTGAATTCTTATCCATTCTGAACTGTGCTGTATCAGGTTTTTCTCAACATTTCTAGATTCGGTCATTTTCCGACAAAATCCTACTGAGGGGCTAACTTGACGCTCAGCCCCCCAAGAATTTTGGAAATCAGATTGAACAAAATTGAATTCTTATCCATTCTGAAGTGTGCTGAACTGTGCTGTATCAGATTTTTCTCAAAATTTCTATATTCGGTCATTTTCCGACAAAATCCTACTGGGGGGTTAACTTACGCTCAGTCCCCTCAAAATTTTGGAAATCAGAGTAAACAAAATTGAATTCTTATCTAATCTGAAGTGTGCTGAACTGTGCTGTATCAGGTTTTTCTCAAATTTCTATATTCAATCATTTTCCGACAAAATCCTACTGGGGGGCTAACTTGACGCTCAGCCCCCCCAAAATTTTGGAAATCAGATTAAACAAAATTGAATTCTTATCCATTCTGAAGTGTGCTGAACTATCCTGTATCAGGTTTTTCTCAAAATTTCCATATTCGGTCATTTTCCGACAAAATTCTACTGGGGGACTAACTTGACGCTCAGCCCCCCCAAAATTTTGGAAATCAGAGTAAACAAAATTGAATTCTTATTTAATCTGAAGTGTACTGAACTGTGCTACATCGGTTTTTTCTCAAAATTTCCATATTCGGTCATTTTCCGACAAAATCCTATTGGGGGACTAACTTGAAGCTTAGCCCTCCCAAAATTTTGGAAATCATATTAAACAAAATTGAATTTTTATCTAATCTGAAGTGTGCTGAACTGTGCTGTATCAGGTTTTTTTCAAAATTTCCATATTCGATCATTTTCCGACAAAAAAATAAGAGGGGGCAGTTGATGCCAAATTTTAGGGGCCACAACACGTGCGGGATTGTAAGCGTTTCGCTTTCGAGGAAACTTTGCTTGAGGTTGGGAGTTGAAACGGTTGGAGAAGAAGATTCAAGAATATTACACACTAAACAGGATAGCCTATCCTCATAAGGCCTGTGTAGATCAAATCTCAAGCCCCCACCGCGCCAAGGATCCAAGGAACCAGTGATAACGTAGGCAGCGTGTCGTTTCTCGCCTTGAAGTAGGGTGTTTGCACCACATACTATGATTCCGCAGGCTTTTGTCTTATGCATACTTGGTACATTAATCAGCAATCTAATACAACTCCTTTTTAGATCTCGTTTACATCTTCCTCTTTGCCTATTATGTTAATCAAAATTAAATATTATTTCTCTTCATAAATGTGTATTCTAAACTACGACCGCTGACGCAAACAGTTAACGACACCTTTGATGACGTCGGTAACGGTGCAACATCATGGTCTTGATTCCAAAAATCGAGTCCGATGCGCAGACTTGTAGTAGTGTTTGATATCCTTGAGGGAGATTATGCGGCATTGAGTTCGTGGACTGTCTATCGCCAACGTGCGTGTCGGAGTCGGATAATTCCTTAATTTCTCCGAGAGAAACCGTATTTGCACAAACAGGATTGCGCTGTTGCTAAATCCTATTTTTTTTTAAATGCGCTTTTTTTTTGAATGCGATTTTACACGGAAAAAAACACCTAGTAATCCGGAGCCCGGAGACCATCATATGTAAAAACCCGTAGACTCCGGGTGAAACCCAGAGAGGTGGCAACCCTACTCTTAAGTCGTTCGGGTACAGCCAGTTAGAGCAAATCTTGACTCCGTATTGTTCGGGTGTGTTAGAGCAGCTTTTAAAGAGTTAACCCTACAAACCCTGCCTTGAGAAATGCTGGTCGTAGTGCAGGCATGCGCAGTGCGATAAAAAACTGATCTGATTTATCGTTATCTTTGAAAAAACACTAAATCACTAGGAAAATTATTATAATTTCGTAAAATCTGGTAAAATTTAATTAACAGGGATGTATGTAAATTCTCAGAGCTGAGCGCCAAGTTAGCTAGTAGGATTTTGTCGGAAAATAACCGAATAAGTATGTAAATTTTGACAAAGCCTGATACAGCAGAGTTCAGTACACTTCAGATTGGAAGAGAATTCAATTTTCTTTCTTCCAATTTTCAACATTTTGAGGGGGCTGAGCTTCAAGTTACCTCCCCAGTAGAATTTTGTCGGAAAATGACCGAATATGGAAATTTTGAGAAAAACCTGATACAGCACAGTTCAGCACACTTCAGAATGGATAAGAATTCAATTTTGTTTAATCTGATTTCCAAAATTTTGGGGGGGCTGAGCGTCAAGTTAGCCCCCCAGTAGGATTTTGTCGGAAACTGACCGAGTATGGAAAATTTGAGAAAAACCAGATACAGCACAGTTCAGCACACTTCAAATTGGATAAGAATCTTTTTTGGTTTCATCTGATTTCCAAAATTTTGGGGGGGCTGAGCGTCAAGTTAGCCCCTCATCTATTTTTTCCTATACATTATTTGTTATCGAAACGGCACAGTTCAAAATATCATCGGCACAGTAAAGCACACTTCGAGCACAGTAAGTGGTTGCAACTTTTTTAGAAAATTCGAATGTGGGGGGGCTAACTTGACGGAGCCGATAGGTACAGGGGAAATCTGTTCTATTGGATATGTCGTTCAATAAATGAATATAAATTGTTATTTCAGATCCAATCCAAGCAGAGGAAAATTTCAAGCAACTATTCGAGGCAAATAAGGGCCTTAAATATTTACAATCGAAAGTGTACAGAGCAAAAGAGGCCATCGATATAGAACTTGCGAAAAACTATGTGAAAATTAACAGTAGTTCAAAAAAAACCATGAAAGAAAATGGGGTTTACGTGTTTTTCACTTATGCACTACTTAACGATAAATAAATGAATTGTATTTTTGTTTCATTTTGAATTTCTCTATTTCCAATGATAATTAAGCAAACTTATGACAAGAAATATACCTACCTAATTGTGGCTCACTGTTAAATCACCCTAGTTCAGAAACATCAAAATTATACCTATCCAATTTAATCAAGCGGTGTCGAATGTTGAATCGACACAAAATGGTGAAAATTCATGGGAAATCAGAAAAGTTGAGGGAAAAAAATTGGTTCTGGAACTTTTTGGAATTCCCTCTACAAAATGGCTATCTTGAAATTTCGAAATTTTGCCTTGGTTTTTGGCCCTTTAGCAGAGGAAACTCTGAAAATGGCGAAATTTGGAATTTCAACCGGCCATAACTAGGTAAAGGTAAGTCGTAAATAAGAACTCTTCACGGGCAGATTATAGAGCTAGACAAGATCTACAAAAAAGCTTTGCGAGTCTTACCTCTACGACTAACGGTTTTTCAGTTATTCCACTTGTAGTTAGGGAGACGACCGCATTTTTCCTACCCCGATCGAGTTATGTGTCGACACTATTATCAATATATAGTATTATGTGCATCTATTAACCAGTATTCCTGCCTGAGAGCAAATGCTGCCGGAAATATCTTTTAACAAATTATTAACAAATTGAAGAAAACGTAACACTACCCCCATCGAGTTATGCCCTACGTAGGGTATCAGATTGAAGGTCTCGATGTCCCCTATCTAAAAAGTCGATCCTGCCTCGTGAGAACTTGCCGGAAAAGGGTGGCAGGGCAGCTTATTGGGGCAAGGGCCCGCGGTCTCAGCTTTGACACCTATCAAGTTTTACCCTGAATGATGTGTCAAATTAAAGGTGTTAAGTTGATTTAAGGTCTCTTCGCACAGAAATCCCAATCCAAAGAAGGAGTGAATTTCATTGGTTGAAACTAGTTTCCTGACTGTTTTCAACCAATGAAATTCACTCTGACTGGTTTGTGATTTCTGTGCGAACAGACCTTAAATCAACTTATCGACACCTTTAATTTGACAAATCATTTAGTGCAAAGCTTGATAGGTGTCAAAGCAGAGACCGCGGGCCCTTTCCCCAATAAGCTGCCCTGCCACCGTTTTCCGGCAAGTTCTCACGAGGCAGGATCGACTTTTTAGATAGGGGACATCGAGACCTTCAATCTGATACCCTACTTAGGGCATAACTCGATGGGGGTAGTGTTACGTTTTTTTCAATTTGTTAATAATTTGTTAAAAGATATTTCCGGCAGCATTTGCTCTCAGGCAGGAATGCATGTTAATAGATGCACATAATACTATATATTGATAATAGTGTCGATACATAACTCGATCGGGGTAGGAAAAATGCGGTCGTCTCCCAGACTATTGGAAGTTTTAAAATTGAAAAATTGATAATTAACCCTAAATTGCTTACCACGAATTTATTTCTAGAACTATAAGTCCAAATGATCTGAAATTTTCAAGGTAGTACTTTACTGACATAAGAATCGCTGAAAATTTTAGCTTTCTATATTTAATAGAAAAAAAGTTACGACCTATCAAAGTTTCCCAAAATCTAAATCATAAGCCTTCTTACTAAAACGATGAAATTTCAAATTTCATTTTGTTGAGATTTTGTGTCCTAATGGTTCTTTGGGACCCCCTCAACTCCATACATTAAATTATTCTCAGATTTGAAGCCGAAAACTATTTTGTTGGTTACATTTTTGTGTTTCATTTTGGGGATGCGCATATTGACCTCTGGTTTTCCGTCTCCACTGTTAAAAGCTTCCTGGAGAACGTGGGCCCTTAACCACTATATTCCTAAGGGTGGCGCCCGAGGTTTCCGAAAACTCCTTAACCGTCCGGAAAACCAAAGAACCACAATTTAATCTTGCTCTTGAGTTGTCAAGAAAAAAATACTGGCAGCAGAAAGAAGTTCCAAAAATAACGCAAAACGAAAAAAGATGGAAAAATCTATGACTGAAAAAAGGGAAGAAAAAAAAGGAAATGATAAGAAAAGAGCGAAAAAGGAAGCTACAATAAAAGCTTTATAGAATAATTGGAAGTGGCGAAGAAAAAAAGAACAATGAAAAAACTGTAAAGATTTTAGGAAAAAATACAAACTGAAAAGTACGGATAAAACAGTAACAGAAAAAAAAACGGGAAACAAAACCTGGAACAAAGAACAGAAAAGAAAGCAAACAGAAAAAAAGCTAGAAAAAGATATGATTGGAAAAAACAAAGAAGAAGCAGGATAAATGACTGGGAATGAGAGAAAAGTTAGACAATAACGACCAAAGCGAGGGAAAAACAGGAAAAAGTCTGCCAACGTTAAACACTATAGAGAAATAAAAATACAAAAAGGCAGATTAATAGGTAGAGGGGAACGAGTAGCTTAAAAACGTGCAGAAAAACCTGGGAAATCTTTGAGTTAAGAATCCAGAAAAAGTTTAATGTTTGATTATTACCTGCTCTTGATTGTCTGATCGCACGTCCAGGGAATTAAAAAACCATAATAGGTTTTTTTGGACTTCAGAGTTCATCAGAATCAGTTCTGAATTGAACTGCACTTGGCGCATTGGTTGATGAATTGACTCCGAACAACTCTATTATTCGTTAATATTAAATATCTCGAATAATATTACTAAAGTCTAGGGAAGTTTAAGTATGAGAATGTTCTCGTCATAAGACTAGAACAAGACTGGAAAAGGGAGCTTTCACAAAGACACCAGAACTGCAGCCGTAAGCGGATAAAATGAGAGAATATAAATAATTCTTCAAGATTCCACATTGCCATCTTATATAAGATTTACATATTGACATCGTTGAATTTTCAAAAAAAGACAATATTCATATAGTCTCTAGATACCATACATCATTGCCGAAAATCCATATGTAGTTGGTTTAATTAAGTTCGGACACGTAAATTTTGCCGTGCCGTAGTTAGTGAAACTTAATGCAGCCGGCGAAGTTGAAGTGTGTTCGAATTATACCGTGTAAAGTTGCCTGGTGGATTACCAACGATTCAAATCTATCGGTTATTCAATAAAATCATTTCAAACTTTGATTTTAAAAGGATTGATGCATTATAAAAGTTAACTGGAAATCGTTTGTCTTTCCAGATAGGTACTTTTGTTGAATTTCAAATAGTTGGAACATGATCTTTGCATTGTGAATTGATTTATTTCTTAAATTTTCAAGGTTCAACAAAAAGCCAAAAATAGTTTTTCAATAAACTTTAACTAAACTCCGGCTTTCAGAACGATTAATTTAAAAACAGATAAACCACAAAACGAAGAGCGAAATTTTCCCTATCCTACGAGGAAAAGCGCAATTATTTAAGTCTAATCTACCACGACGGGGGTATCGCTATTGTTTCTCTATCGCTCTTTTGTGCTAAACAAACGTTTTGAGCTAGAGTTGCGGTCTTAATTGGGCTCTATCTTTTGCGGCTGTCGCTGGTTGAATTAATTTCGATACTGTTGCGACACGAATTAATTTCATTTTGAAAATAAAATGCGGAAGATCAAGGTTTATATTTGGGTAAACGTAAAAATAAGTCTTGCTATGCGTCAAAAGAAATCTTTCACATTAAGGTTAATAAATATCTTGGCGTGTAAAACGAGACGGTATTTTCCAAGAGGAAAATACTCAAACATATATCTTGGAGGGTCCCTGAATAAGTCTCGTCAGAATAAGAGGAGAAAAGCTTGATTTATGCTTAGACTGAATTTACGTTCGTAGATATGTAAATCTGACTTACATTTCTATACAAGATTTTACTTTTGCTAGTTTATTTAATTAGAGCCCAAGCACCCTTCAGCTTCATTAGCTTATTTTTGCCGGGTCACAAAAAGGGCGTTTGAAATTTATTAAGTGCCCAAAAAATGTTTCGCTCTGAGGGTCGGTATACAATTGGAAATGGCTTTCGACGCCAGGAACACTCAGAATGCGGTTTGCGAATACTTTTTATGTTTCTGGATCATAAAGTATGGAGCGACATGAGATATAAATGTAAATTTATTCGCAAAAAAAAAATGCTAAAACTAATTTTCTCTAGTTTTAGTCTAGAATGACTGAAATAATGTTTAATTATTTTAGTTTCTTATCATTTCTTTTGGGTTGCCCTCTCTAGCTGCTCAAAATATAAATCTTAGAAAAATTGCAAGTTCTACATCTATCAATAGAAAATCTCTGACGTTATGCAAATGGTGGCCACTTATGCTATGTCACGCACTCGGTCTGGAATGAGAGTTGATTTCATTATCAATACTCCTGCTTGGAGCACATGGAGCAGACAGACAGCAGATCGATCTGATAGGTTTCAGACTAACCCGTATACTGCTGAACAGGTCTGGAGAACAGATCTGTATACAGCTATACAAGTCCGTTGTACAGGTCCGATACCGCTTTAGGGGGTAATATAAACTCGGTATACCTACAATTTTTCAATTTTTTTGAGTGCCTTTTTTCATACTTGTATATTATTATACATTGTATATTAAATAGACTTGAATAAAGAGTAATATTATCGGCTTTCTATTCCCTAGACATGAGATTAGACAATCAAGAGCCGGTAATAATCAAAAATTGAACTACTCCTGGATCCTTAACTCGAAGATTTTCCAGGATTTTCTGCACGTTTCTAAGTTTTTCCTTCCCCTCTTCCTATTAACCCGCCCTTTTGTATTTTTATTTCTCTATTGTTTAACGTTGGCAGACTTTTCCTATTTTTCCCTCGCTTTGATCGTTCTTGTCTAACTTTTCCCTCCTGCTTAATTCCCCTCTATCTATTAACCTACCTTTTTGTGTCTTTATTTCTCTAGTGTTTTCTGTTGGTAGCCTTTTTCCTGTTTTCCCCCTCGCTTTGATTGTCCTTGTCTAACTTTTCTCTCATTCCAGTCATTTGTCCTGCTTCTTCTTTGTTTTTTCCAATCATATCGTTTTCTAGCTTCTTCTCTGTTTGCTTACTTTTCTGTTTTTTGTTCCAAGTTTTGTTTTCTTTTTTTTTTCTGTCACTTTTTCAGCCGTACTTTTCAGTTGGTA